TCTCCCTTCGCCTCTGGTAAGTTGGAGAGGTAGGTGAGGTGTGGTGGAAACAGCTCAATCCTCGTTCACAGTTTGTAACCTTGCAGTGCTGGCTGCCTTGAAAGGTTGCAGGGATTATTGTGAATGCTACTCTTCTTGACATGTTGTCAAACTGAGAAACTAGGGAGACAGTACAGTTAAAAATCATCTGCTTCGGGAAGTAGAGGAAGTTACGGCAGCATAGCCTATAGCCTAAGCAGCATTCTGCCTGTCTCAAGGCACATGGCTGAGAACTGCCATCGTCAGGCCTGGGGAATGGAGTGTGGGGTACTGTCAGGCAGAGTGACCTCTGAGTCCAGCTGACTGGGAGGAGCAGAGGGGAGAGAGCAGGTGTACTAACATCCCCTTCAAGCTTGTGCCCAAGTCAAGTTTCATAGGCCCCCTCTGAGCGTCTTGGGCGAGAATACCAACAGGGGCTCACACTCTGCACATCTAAATATTTAACGTTATAGATCCTAACTGATGTTAGGTAAAATATGCTCTATCCTCCTACCTTTTATAAGTATACCTTCAGGATGAAACTGGAAGTCCAGGTTTAAATTTAGAACCTCAAATTCTGTGAATTCTGCTCCAGTCCCTATCAGACCCTTTCTCTTCTTCATCTGGTTTTATCATCATTGCAAAGGGCACCGTGCAGATGCATATGGACATTCTAACTTGCACATCCAAGCTACTTTTATATGCCATTTAATGGCATATAAAATGACAGCTTCTCAGGCTATCCCTCAGCTCTAGGGGCCATAGAGCAGTGGCAGAGTTTACCCTAGGAAGGAAAGACCCAGATAAGAGGACTGTAGAGACCCTGAAAGTAAGTTCAAGACATTTGAGCAGGGACTTCTGGGATGCCAGATATTTAGAGATGGGGAATGGGTTCCAGGTGGACAGATCTCTTTGGTCTGGTTGACTCATCATCTCATGAAGAGGAGCATAGCCAAAAGAGGGTCACAACAGAGCCATCCAGTCTTGGTCTAAAGGTGAAAGTGAGCAACTGAACCCTAGTTGTAAGGGCAGTCTGGATGCAATATTTGTCACCAACGCCTGCCTCTTGACCTCCATTCGGCACCAGAGTTGATTCAGCTGACTGGCTCTCTGGTGGGATGTTGTCCTCCCTCACTGCCCTATACAAGTTCTTCCTAAAGCTGCAAGATGAGTCAAAGCAGGAAACATTGACAGAGAGGGTCTAGGGTCCTCCTCTACAAGAACTCCCCGAAATCTAGAGACTTGCTCTGCTTTGCCTTCTCACCCAGGGCGGCTCCTCTGGCTATGTCTACCAGATCCCTCAGCCCATGTGTATTCAGGTCCTCTGCCCATTTCCTAATCAGATTATTTGTTTTTCGATGTTGAGTTGTTTCTTTATATGTTTTGGATATTAGCCCCTTATCAGGTATATCATTTAATCAAATATCTTCTATTCTGTAGGTTGCCTTTTTGTTTTGTTGAGTTTCCTTTGCTGTGCAAAAGCTTCTGATTTTGGTGCAGTCCCAGTAGTTTATTCTTGCTTTTGTTTCCCTTGCCTCAGGAGACGTATGGAAAAAATGTTGCTACAGCTTATAGCAGAAATTATTGCCCGTATTTTCTTCTAGGAGTTTTATGGCTTCAGGTCTCACATTAGGTCTTTAATTTATCTTATTTTTGTGTATGGCATGAGAAAGTGGTCCAATTTCACTCTTTTGCATGTAGCAGTCTGGTTTCCCCAGCACCATTAAAAAAAATTTTTTTTAATGTTTATTTATTTTTGAGAGAGAGAGAGAGAGAGAGCAAGCAAGGGAGGGGCAGAGAGAGAGGGAGACACAGAATCTGAAGCAGGCTCCAGGTTCTGAGCTGTCAGCACAGAGCCTGACACAGGGCTCGAACTCACGAACCGTGAGATCATTACCTGGGCCAAAGTTGGCTGCTTAACTGACTGAGCCACCCAGGCACCCCTTTCCAGTGCCATTTTTGAAGAAGACTGTCTTTTACCCATTTTATGTTCTTGTGTCCTTTGTCATAGATTAATTGACCATATAAGCATGGATTTATTTCAGGGCTTTCTTTTCTGTTCTGTTCTTTGTGTCTAGTTTTGTGCCAGTGCTATACGGTTTTAATTACTACAGCTTTGTAGTATATATTGAAATCTGGGGTTTTGATACCTTCAGCTTTGTTCTTCTTTCTCAGAATTGCTTTGGCTATTTGGGTGTTTTGTGGTTCCATACAAATTGTAGGATTATTTCTTCTAGTTCTGTGAAAAATGCTGTTGGTATTTTGATACAGATTGCATTGAATCTGTAGATTGCTTTGGGTAGTATGGACATTCGAACAATGTTTCTTCTTCTAGTCCACAAACATGGAATATCTTCCATTTATTTGTGTCATTTTCAATTTCTTTCATCAATATTTTGTAGTTTTCAGAGTACAAGTCTCTTACCTCTTTTGTTAAGTTTATTCCTAAGTATTTTATTATTTTTAGTATAATTATAAATGGAATTATTTTCTTAATTTCTCTTCCTGCTAGTTCATTTTTAGTGTATAATTTTGTAACTGATTTCTGTGGATTAATTTTGTATCCTGCAATTTTACTGAATACATTTATTATTTCTAATAGTTTTTTCCTCAGCTCATGTTTGCACGGGCTCCTCTGTCCCATCTTGTGTCTATGGATAGTCATACCAAATCCTGTGACCTGTAGCCCACCCATTCACAGCATTGCCTGCTTCTGTCCACAGTGCTGCTCAACATGGTCTTGTTACTCTGAATGTCATGACAGTCTTGACTACAAGCCAGTCCCCCGGAAAGATTTCTTTCTTGTGAGATTTTATAATGGCAACGCTAGAATGAATTGAGATTATGAGGTTTCCAATAGACCTGAGTTCAAAACCCAGATTTGCCACTTGCTAGCTTTGAAAACTTTGGCAAGTTATTCAAATTCCCTAAGATTCAATTTCTTCATCTAAAAAGATGAGGAAGATGTATTTACCTTGCAGGCTTGCTGTAAGAATTGGATAAACTGATATATGTAAAATCTTAGTCATGTATCTGGTACCTGGTAAATGTTTCATAAATGTTAAGATTCTCGCTTCAAACGTATTTCTAAGGGCATCATTTCCTACAGAATCTATACAGGCTCCTTTTAAGGGTAGGTTCTCAGTTTAGCATTCAGGGCCCTTTGGCAGTTGTCTTTGTCCACATCTCTTGTCTGTCCCTGATGTGACTTTCCTGTTCCTGCCAAGTAAATTTCCATACGTCCCACAAGTGACTCATACTTTCTGGCCTCCTTGGCTCTTCTGTTATTACAACTGCATTGCATTTAGTCTTTAAACAGCTCTCAGCATTGGACCTCCTCTCTACCACCTTTGATCTCATTCTGTGTCAAAGCCTAGTTTGGTATTAACTTCTTCCAAAAACCCAGTGCCACTCTCTTCTTTGCCCTCTCCTTTACCACACATGGTAGATTATTTCTAACGACACCTGTGACTGACCTCTCTAATCCAACACCTTCTCTTACAGTGTAACCTTGTCAAGAGATAGTCTGTTTCTCCTACCTTTGAAAGTGGGTGGACTCTGTGACTTCTTGGGCCAATAAGATGTTGTCAGATGTCGTTTCCAGTATTTCTGAGCCCAGGACTTAGGAAGGCTGGCAGCTTCCATGTTATACCTTAGAATGTTCACTCTTGGTAAGACAAATCACTTTGTCAGAAACCTGGTTACTTTGAGACTTCCATGCAATAAGGAAGCCCAAGCTAGCTAGTTACATGGAAAGCCCATTTGATGAGAGAGAGAGAGAGAGAGAGAGAGAGAGAGATACCCACCAGCCCCCAGATGTTTTAGCCATTGATAGTAGCCAGCCTCCAAGATGACTGCTACCTGCTAGTGCTCATACTCTTGTGTAGTCTTCCTGTATGTACTGTGCTAAGATTGGTCTGTGTGACCCACAACAATATGGCAGATGTACTTGTTGGTACATCACTTTGGAGATTACGATGTAAAAAATTGCAGCTTCCATCCCCCAATGTCTCTCATGACTTGCTCTGGAGAAAACCAGCTCTCATGGAGCTCAGGTAAATTGGAAAAAAATGATTCAGAGCTAGCAAGTGAAGGAACCCAGATTCAAGTTCAGGCTGCAGGATTTTGAAGCCCAGGCAATTAACCAGTCTCCCTTCTACTTTTTCTATAATTCAGGAGAGCCCAAAATATAGTTCTGATTGCTTAGTAACAGTCTTGAAACCCCATCCCACTTCCACACATAAGTCAATGAATTTTTCATTTTCTAAGTGAAACAGCATTAGATTTATTATACTGTAGAACTTCACTTAGTGTAAGCCAAATACCACAGTGTATAATCACTTTAATTATTTATTTGTATAGTTTCCAGTACTTTGTCCAAGTATTTTGTTTGATTTCTTTATATATATAAATATTTCTTTATTTTATATATATAATGAATAATGAATATATATATTCATTTCTTTATATCTTTCTATCTATCTGCAGGTCATTCCTTCTTCGGTAGTATAAAATAAGCAAACGAATACAAAAAGAAAGAAAGGTTCATTTAATACCAAGGCAGTTCCCTCTTATGGATTTGATTTATTTCCTCTCCTCTTCCTTTTCTATACTGATATGTACTGAGTGGGTTGGCTGCAATCTTAAGCCAAACAACACATTAATCTGTGGTGACCCAGGATGCTGCTGGGGGCGAAGGTGTTGATGCTCTTTTGTGCTGCTAATGCCAAGGTTTTGTTACTCTTAACTTTATTGTTTAAATTTATTTTATGTTGCTTTTCCATGTGAGTGTTAATTACATGGTGGCTTGCTGTTGACTTCTCAGTATCCTTCTTCTGTTTGCAAAGCACTGTGTCATGCTCTGTGGAGGCTGAACGAAGCTGCATTAAGGAGGGTTCCTTCCCTCAAAAAGTTTAAAGCTAGTGACGGTTAAGAAGTCTACCAGGGTTTCTGGGTGGCACAGCAGGAGTAGTAAAAAGGAATTCATTCATTCTCCATGTATTTTTAGAGCATTCTACAATATTAGAGGCATTGTTTTAGGCATCTGGAATTCATCACAGAATCCAGACATCAAGTGTGTAGAGCTTATACTATTGCGTATCAGACGGTGATACATGTTATCTGAGACAAATAGGGCAGGGTGAGGTGAAAGTGAGCATCTTCTTTTCGATTTCTTCTACATGCCAGATGTGTTACAGATGCTCTTGATCATCAAAATAACCCAATCCTGGAAAAACAAGAATATTTGAACTCAGAGAAATTAGGAAACTTTGATCTTTATAATACAAAGGCCACCATGCCACTGTACCATGTTATCTCCCTTTAGAAATGCTAAAACACACACACACACACACACACACACACACACACACACACACAAAGTTCAATGGAAGAAAATGAGAGAGCAGTGAATTCTCAAGGGGCTTTGTGGAAGTCTTCCTGGAAGAGGTGGCCTTTGAGAGGGCCATTAACAAATAAGCAGAAAGAGGAGGGGAGAGCATGATCAATGAGGGAACTCTCAATACATGAGTATATATCTATTCCAGTATACATCTATTCAACTTAAATCCATGTAATTGTATAAAGGTTTTGCTATCTCAAACTTAAAACTCAAAAGGTTTTCCTACTACATGAGAACTTATTTTCTAAAAGCCAACTTGCACTCCACAGCCCTGTAGCATTCAAATAAAATGAAAAGAATGTAAAGCAATGCTCTCGTAATAGGAAAAGGAGCTTCCAGGTCAGTGTTTTAAAACAAAACAAAACAAAACAAAACAAACAAAATAAATAAATAAAACCCAAACCTTTTCTGGTTCTGAGCCAGAAAGACCTTTTCCAAAGAGGAGGCAGCCCAACCCAAAGCCTCCCCCAGGGGTGCTCTCTCTGATGGCCTCTTGCTAGCCTAAGTCCTCAGATCCTTGAGAAGGTCTGAATGTGACCGTCCTTGTTCATTCATTTTATGTCACAGAGTGCTGCCAGTAGATTTTCCCATTACAGAAATTGGGGCTATTTTTTTCCAGGACGTATTTATTAACAGTAATGCTTTGGCTTTCTTCCATCTATTGAACAGAGTACTTATATGCATTCCACTGAAGAATGGGAATTGAGTTTTTTCCATTATCCGACCCATGTTCTTCTTAAATCTGATGGCGTTCTTTCCTAATGCTTCCAATAATGGTTTTCTCTTTGTGTACTTTTGATTGAAGTGTAATATACATATAGAGAAGTACAAAAGTCTTGATTGTTCAGATTGATGAATTCTCACAAAGTAAACACACCTGAGTAACTGGTACCCAGATTAAGAAAGAGAACCTTCCCACACCCCCAGAAGACTCCCCATCACTACTCCCCAAGGGTGACCACCATCTGACTTCTAATAATAGTGAATAGCTTTGCCAGATTTGCACTTAATATAATTATAAATAGAATTATGTGGTATGTACTTTTTCTTGTCGGGCTGTTTTTACTCAGTGAGATCCATCTATGTGGTTGCTGGTGGTTAGAGTTTGTGTGTTCTCGGGTGGTATAGTACTCCATAGTGTGTCTATAGAGTGAACAGACAACACTGTGTCCATCCATTCTGTTGTTGATGGCATCTAGGTTGTTCCCAATATGGGGACCACAGCTATAAAAATTGCTATAAAAATAATTTATGGAACTTGCATGTGATCCATAAGAAAAAAATTGTTATATTTATATGTTAATGGATACCCTAATTACAAGCAAAATTCTAAGTTAAAAAGAAAATTGTGCTAGAGAGCAAGTTCCTTGAAAATAAGGTATATACCTTAGTCCCTGGTGGATTCCCAGAGCCTGCTTCGTGGTGGAAGCAGATAGCAGAGGGGTTCAGCAAACATTTGATGAACATATAAATGAACTTTAGAATTAGGAAAATTTTATCTTTAGTGAAGAAGACTGACACCTAAGAGGCCATCTTACTAATTGGTGAGCTACATTAATGTGAGTGTCCCATTAACCACCAAATGATCATTAGCAGGACTATTATTGTAAAAGAATTTCTGCAGTGAGTAGAAGGCGGGTGAGACTAGATGGCCTTAATCCTAAATGGCTAGGATTCTATTTAACATGTTGTAATTACACAAATAATGTCACTCTGGGTAAAAGGAAGAACAGGGGGAAACAAATTATCTTGTTTTATTTTTTGTTTTGGGGTTATTGACTTTGTGGGTTTTTTGTTTGTTTGTTTTTGTTTTCTGGGGTTTTTTGTTTTTTGTTTCCTGTGCTAAATACTTCCCTGTAAGCACCAGAGGAAGCTGGTGTTGCAGTAAGTAGCAGTTTTCATTATACATTTATTTTGCTTAATTTTCATGTTTATTTTGTAAAAAGGGCCTCAATAGTTATGTCACACGGCTTTAGTAGTATCATCGCTTTTACTCAAGGCAGAACAGAGTTCTTATGACAAACAGGACATCATACCATAAAAAGCAGAAATTCAGGAGCCAGATAACTGATGATGAATCCTGCCTAATTCATCATTCACCATTTATTAACTGTGTAACTTTGAGCCATTTATCCAACCTTTCGTTTCCTTATCAGCAAAATGTGGCCAATAATGGTACCAACCTCACAGTCATCATAGGGATGAATATATGTAAGGCACTTGAAATAATGCATGACATACTAAGCAATCAATTAGTATTTGCTTTGTTTGTAAGAACCATCACTCATATTGTAGATATTGGTTAAATGCAGCCCAACTTATTCAGTTAATATTCATTAAAATGTTTAGGATTGACGAGATGCTATAAGTGTTATTTATTTGGTCTTGACACAAGGCAATGACGTGATTTTTCTTCCATGATTAAATACGGGGAACTTTGAAGATGCAGGTTAGGGAGGAGTGCGCACATCCAGCAGGCAGACTTCACTGACAAGCAGGAGAAAGAGTGTACAGAAAACTCCTCGGGATCTCCTTGGTCAGAGCCTTGGAGAACTGGAAGAGATGAGTCCCAAGTAAAAATGCAATTCACCCCTCAGGGCTGGTGATGACTAAAGTTGGCATAGATAAGGCTGTGTGCCTTCACTTCTTTGTTCATTAGTCATTTATCCATTTCTATACTCTTCTTTTTTTCCCCTAAAAAAGGATTTCCACATCAGCATTTCTCCCCCAATTCCTTTTATTTTTTTATTCTCAAGTTAGTTAACATACAGTGTAGTCTTGGCTTCAGGAGTGTAGAACCCAGTGATTCATCTCATATATATGACACCCAGTGCTAATCCCGAAAAGTGCCCTCCTTAATGCCCATCACCCATTTAACCCACCTTCATCAACTCTCGGTTTGTTCTCTGTATTTAAGAGTCTCTTATGGTTTGTCTCCCCTCTGTTTTTATCTTATTTTTCCCTCCCTTACCCTATGTTCATCTGTTTTGTTTTCTTAAATTCCACATATGAGTGAGATCATATGATATCTGTCTTTCTCTGACTTATTTCACTTAGCAATAATAACCTCCAGTTCCATCCACCTTGTTGCAAATGGCAAGATTTCATTCTTTTTCATCACTGACAAGTCCACTGTATCTATATACTACATCTTCTCTATCCATTCATCAGTTGATGGACATATGGGTTCCTTCCATAATTTAGCTATTGTTGATAGTGCTACTATAAACATGGGGGTGCCTGTGCCCCTTTGAAAGAGCACACCTGTATCCTGTGGATAAATGCCTAGTAGTGCAATTGCTGGGTCATAGGGTAGATCTATTTTTAATTTTTTGAGGAACCTCCGTACTGTTTTCCATAGTGGCTACAGCAGTTTGCATTCCCACCAACCATGCCGGAGGGTTCCCCTTTCTCCACATTCTCGCCAGCATCTGTTGTTTCCTGAGTTGTTAATTTTAGCCACTCTGACTAGTGTGAGGTGGTATCTCATTGTAATTTTGATATATATTTCCCTGATGATGAGTCATATAAGCATCTTTTCATGTGTCTGTTTGGCATTTGTATGTCTTCTTTGGAAAAGTGTCTGTTCATGTCTTCTGCCTATTTCTTCACTGGATTATCTGGGTTTTTTTAGTGTTGAGTTTGGTAAATTCTTTGTAGATTTTGGATACTAACCCTTTATCTGATATGTCTTTTGCAAATATCTTCTCCCATTCCATTGGTTGCCTTTTAGTTTTGTTGACTGTTTCCTTTGCTGTGCAGAAGCTTTTTATATTGATGAGGTCCCAGTAGTTCATTTTTGCTTTTATTTGCCTTGCCTTCTGAGACATGTCAAGTAAGAAGTTGCTGCGACTGAGGTCAGAGAGGTTGCTGCCTGTTCTCCCCAGTAGGATTTTGATGATTTCTTGTCTCACGTTAAGGTCTTCCATCCATTTTGAATTTATATTTGTGTTTGGTGTAAGAAAGTGGTCCAGGTTCATTCTTCTGCATGTTGCTGTCCAGGTCTCCCAGCACCATTTGCTAAAGAGGCTGTCTTTTCTCCATTGGATCCTCCTTCCTACTTTGTTGTAGATTTGGTCATATATTTGTGGGTCCCTTTCTGGGTTTTCTATTGTATTCCATTGATCTCTGTGTCTGTTTTTGTGCCAATACCATACTGTCTTGATGATTATAGCTTTGTAATATAGGTTAAAGTCCAGGACTGTGATGCCTCCAGCTTTGGAATCTGGGATCTTTTTGGTTCCATACAAATTTCAGGATTGTCTCTTCTAGCTCTGCGAAGAATGCTGGTGCTATTTTGATTGGGATCACATTGAATGTATAGATTGCTTCGGGTATTATTGGCATTTTAACAATATTTGTTCTTCCAGTCCATGAGCATGGAATGTTTTTCCATTTCTTTGTGTCTTCTTCAATTTCTTTCATGAGTTTTCTATAGTTTTTAGGGTACAGATCTTTTACCTCTTTGGTTAGGTTTATTCCTAGGTATTGTATGGTTTTGGGTGCAGTTGTAAATGGTATCAATTCCCTGATACCTCTTTCTGTTGCTTCCTTGTTATTGTATAGAAATGTGACCAGTTTCTGTACATTGATTTTATATCCTGCAACTTTGATTAATTCCTGTATTAGTTCTAGCAGCTTTTTGGTGGAGTCTTTTGGTTTTCCATACAGAATATCATGTCATCTGTGAGAAGTGAAAGTTTGACTCCTTCTTTGCCAATTTGGATGCCTTTTATTTCATTTTGTTGTCTGATTGCTGAGGCTAGGACTTCCAACACTATGTTAAACAACTGTGGTGAGAGTGGACATCCCTGTCATGTTCCTGATCTCGGGGAAAGTTTTCAGTTTTTCCCATTGAGGATGATATTAACTATGGACCTTTCATCTGTGGCTTTTATGATGTTAAGGTATGTTCCTTCTATGCCTACTTTCCTTTTTAGTAGGGACTTTTCTGGGTTTGGCAGGAAAGGCGGTCTTAAGAGCAACATACACTGAGGGGCGCCTAGGTGGCTCAGTCAGTTAAGCGTCCGACTTTGGCTCAGGTCATGACCTCACAGTTTGTGGGTTTGAGCCCCATGTCGGGCTCCGTGCTGACAGCTCAGAGCCTGGAGCCTGCTTCAGGTTCTGTGTCTCCCTCTCTCTCTTCCTCTCCCTGGCTCTCACTCTGTCTCTCTCTCTCAAAAATAAATAAATATTTTAAAAATTTTAAGAGGAATATACACTGAAATTCACTGAAATCCAGGCCTATCTCAAGAGGCGAGAAAGTCTCAAATAAACAACCTAACCTTATACCTAACAGAGCTGGAAAGCAGCAGCAAAGAAAGCCCAAAGCCAGCAGAAGAAGGGCAATAATAAAGATTAGAGCAGAAATGAATGATACAAAATCAAAAAACAAACAAACCAAAAACAAAACAGTAGAACAGATCAGTGAATCTAAGAGCTATTTTTTGAAAGAATAAACAAAATGGATAAACCCCTAGCCAGACTTCTCAAAGAGAAAGAGAGAGAGGACCCAAATAGATAAAATCGTGAATGAAAGAGGAGAGATCACAACCAATACCACAGAAATACAAACAATTATTAGAGAATACTATGAAAAATTATATGCCAACAAACTGGACAATCTGGAAGAAATGGACAAATTCCTAGGCACTCATACACTACCAAAACTCAAAGGGGAAGAAATAGAAAATTTGAACTGACCCATAACCAGCAAAGAAATTGAATTGGTTATCAAAAATCTTCCAACAAATAAGAGTCCTGGGCCAGATGGCTTCCCTGGGGAATTCTACCAGACATTTAAAGCAGAGTTAACACCTATTCTTAGCAAACTATTCCAAAAAATAGAAATGGAGGGAAAGCTTCTAAACTCATTTCTCCCCCAATTCCTGATCAGAACCTTCCAGAGCATTTAAAACTGTGGCATTTTAATCTGTTTGTAAGAAGACCCTGCTCTCATTGAGGGCTTTTTAACTGTTTATGCACTGGAATTAAAGCATCAAAATAAAGTGATCCCTAAGAATTCAGAACTGTACCAAGTAATAAACCTCAGATGAATCCTAAGTTTAGAAACGTGATTTTCTTCCTGCTCATCAAATTTTGGTAAAGTGCCTCCCTAAGGGAAAGCCACAGTGAAGAGAGCATCTAAACTTCCTTGCCACACGTCTGGGTTAAAAAATAACAATAAGCAAACCAGATCACAAATTAAAGTATAGGTGCATATTTCCGCATGCAGGTTTAAAATGTTTATAGTTTTAAAAATTAAAAGCATAATCAACACAAAGATTAAACAATGGAAATTTGCAGCAACTAAAATAATATGTTCTTATGAAAATAATCTCACAAATCATTGAGAAACAATGTAGACTTTAATATTTGATGTGAATAAGAAACTCACAAAATGCCCTATAATTACTTAGCTAATACACCAAGAAAATGTTCAGCTGCACTAGTAATAAATAAATGCCAATAAAAACAACAAAATAACATTTCTCTTTATCAAAGTAGCAAATGTTTAAATGATAAAACCCAGAGATATTTAAGACGAAGGAGGTAAAAGTATCTATGGGAGACTAAATTGGTATTTAGGTTTTAGGTTAGCAATAGGTGTCACGTAGATGTTTATTCCTTTAGTTCCAATAACCCCACTTCTGAAAGTCCATTTTGAGTGTTTAAAAATCTGACAAAGCTTAGTTAACAACGATATCCATCACAGCGATACTTAGTGAAACGTTTAAAATCACTGAAAACTAGAAGACTAGTTATGTATTCCATTCACTACAGCAGTGAAAAATAACGCTTATGTAATTTGCAATATAAGAGAAAAGAGTTCTGCGATAATGTTAAGTGAGGGAAGCTAGTCATAAAATACAGTGTGATTGCAATTATGTAAATACCATCTTAAAAAAAAAGTTCAAAAAATCTATAAAAGTCTAGGCATCATGCAAAAAGACAAATGAAATATATTGAAATAGCACATAAATGGTTGTTTCTGGGTGGTAGAGCTATGTATAAAGCTTTCCTCCTTTTGATTTATCCATAGTTGTATGCCTTAGCCACATAATCTGTAATAAGGATATTTATCTATTACATTGGAAACAATTTTTGGTACTTGAAAAAATAAACAAATGAGGAAAATAAAATATGGGAACTTTCATTTTCTTTTCCTAGCAGAGTAATAGAACAATTTATTTTATCTGACTTGTGGCTACCTGTTCCATTTGTGGAGTATAGATGCTAAATCCAGTGTCCTCCTAGCCAAGGCTTTCCCCTGCTATAGCTCCTTGGCCTGCAAGATCAAGTCTTAAAGCCATTCGAGGTCTTATTAAAAACTAAAGGGATACCCCAAACATTTAGTGCTCAATTTCTTTGGAAATTTAATCTTCTTCTAATCAAGTCTGAGAAATTTTTTAAATTCATTTTCTTAAAACATTAAATCCAACTTTAGTTATATTACTGATTAAATACCTTTTGATTTTTGAGATCACCATGCTTGAGAAAGCTTTAAGCATATTCATGTTCAGGGATTGTGGGCGTAAGTAAGATTCAACTCCTTTCTCATTTGTTACGTGAACTGCCCTCATCGAGCGCAGGCTATCACTGCAAAGTAGATGAAGAAAGCACTGCAGTATTAAAACTTATAAAAGGTTGATGACTCCCTTACAGAAGGTTCCAGGCTGACTTCTATGGTCTCATGGGCTCTGTGTGTCATCAAGACCTCCTAAGATTCTGAAGCCCCAGTTCCGTGGCTATGAGGGACTTGGGACCTGGCATTAGGAACAATGCGTGTCTATTATGTTTCATCCTCAGGAACCCATCTGACAGCACTCGTCAGGTCACATGTTGTCTGTGCTCGGCATACAATGCTGCTGACTTCTTGGACTCTAAGTATGGACCCAACCAAGGTTGGGCTCCTTACTAGGAGAGGTCCTCATTAAAACTCAAACCCTACAATTTCTCCCCTTTGAAATCTTTCTTCCAACAGCGTCTGATTCTAAAATAGCTGTTACTTTAAGATAAACTATAAGAAATAAATTCTGGCCAGCGTAATAATGCTTATTTACCTCTCTTGGAGGGTTTATATTATTATAAGTTATATATTTTACATAATATAGTGCTATACTATTATATACTCATATATATAGTCTATAATATAATTATATATTAGTATATATTAACACTATACCAAACTATTATAATCATAGGTTTAATGTTATACTAATTTTAAATATTAGTCCCAGAAAAATAAAAAATTTCAGTGGAATTTCAGATATTGTTACTAACCAACGAGGGAGATATTTCAGGAGTCTGTACTTTCCATATATTCCATATCACACTCCACTGACTTAAAAGGCTGGCTTAGACTGAAGGCTGTACAAGATATCTCAATTCCTAATTTTTCAATATGGGCCAAAAAAAGAAAGGAACACTCAACAATTTCAGGTAATTATTGTGTGGATTTCTAAAATCTCTAACAAGAATCCATGCCTCAAGACAGCTGACCTTTCTTTGTTTCAGGTGTCATGTGTCTTTTTCGCTCAACGGTTAAGGTCATGAGTATATGTCACATTGCTCAACAAAACCCACTGATTGACACAAACTCTGTGACACAATGCTAGTCTCTTGAATTGAAATGCAAAAAATATAGTTTTAGTCTGGACCATACCAGCCATCAGATCAAAATAGCAGGTATTTTGATTCTTCAGTTCAGAGGTCACGTATGATAATTCAGCCCTTGGTTATGGACTGGGAGAAAGTTAAAGATTGGTATGTGATGGTTGACCTCTTCTTATCTGAGCTTATCTAGTCAAAAACCCAAGGGGACGTTTTCATTATCCAGAATCATTTTGCAGGAAATAATTTTTTAATAGATTGGTCTTTCACAATATGAAAAAAAGGTTTCTATCTCTAATTCTCCACGATTATCATTTTGTTGAACATCCACAATGCTTTTTGTTTTGCTTTGTATTTTAGGCAATTCAAATGTGTTTCTGTAATACTTACTTTCTGTTAATTTTGAGATATGCTTTAAGGAAGTAGTGTGCGTAATGGAAAGATTACTGGATGCTGGGTCCATACCAGCTTTGTGACTCTGGCAAGTCAAAACTTCTAAGCTGCTATTTGCCTTGTCCATAAAGAGAAGATTCCACCATCCGCCCTACAAATCTCATAGTGGATGGTGATAATACATTAACATAATAATACATGTTAAGGTACTATACAGATAGTACCTTATCTCTATAGTAATTAGATAATTAATTAGAAAAAAAAATGAAGGAATTTTTATATAAAATTAGCTTTAGAATATAACCAGAACTGCAATCCTTCACTCATATGTTAAATATAGTAGGTTTCAATTTTGTTTCTGCTGCTGACTAGACACATAACCTTAGACAAGCTATTTAACCTCTCTGACTCAGTTTCTTCACCTGTAGTGCCTACTTACTTAGGGTTTTTGTGGGTATTAAGGACTATAATGCATGTAAAGTATAGAGCAATGTGACTGGCTACAGTTATTATGGTCACTCATCTGGGTTAAATTCTCACCAACCAGTCTAAAAATTTTCATCAAGGTTTATGGCCATTTTGGAAACTTATGGTAAACAACAACAACGAAATATTTTTCCTTGAAATGGGGTTAATGTTGATGAGCATTTGAATTATTCAGTAATTATTTTTGCTGTATCCTTTATTTGACTAGAGAAATATTTATAGGGACTATTTAATGGTCATATCTTTATTTTAGAGAGAACATTTCTCTTAGGTATGTTTAAAGTTTGTTCCACACAGAAGTAGCATTACAGTGTATTTGATTTTTCCTCTTGTTTGCATTTATCTATTTGATAAATCTACCATGAGCCAGGCATTATGTCTGGATTAACACCAGGGGTGCTGGTGCAGATGGGAAACTGGCTATGGCAAGAGAAAATCTACCAAGGAGAGCCCTCAAAATGTCTCCTTCCTAAGCTACTTCAATTGCATGACCAGAAATAACTCAGGCGCAGTCTTGGTTGGAGGTGGGGATTATGCCCTGTTCCAAGGACAGCCCTGTTTCAGGTCTTTGATCTCCCTAGGGGAGATCCTTCATCAGATCCTCCCCCCACCTCCATCAACCTGAGCTCCTTGCAACACTTGGGCAGTCTACCACCAGGACAACTCCAACCTAACTGCCTCCTGCCCAATCCCACCTACACACCGGAAGCCAGCCCAGAACCAAGTCAGGTGTATTTGTTCCAACTATCATGATGGATTAAATTCTCATTTCTATGCAGCAGCAGCTTGGAGTGAAGAGAAATCAATGTTGGCGAAGATACACTTGTAAGGGCTCATTAGAATATAGACACAGACTAGGAACTTCCTAAGAGCTGAAGGAGAATATTACAAGTACTGAACGTTCTATTTTTTCATTACTATAAAATTAAATATGGAACAGAATAAATTGGGAGATGATTCGCCTCATAATATGAGTGTGACTAGAAGTTGAAATGTGAAATTAGTATTGTAAAGCAAATCTAATCATAGTTTGAAATATAAATATTTCAAGATCACTTCAGAATACTAAGATAAGTACATGTAGATTTTATAAAACTCTACTGTAATATTCTTTTATAATATTCTACCATGATCTTGTGCATCTATTAAAATTTAGAGGCCTTAGTATGAATGTATTAAATCATTTCCAAAGTTCTGAAAGTGATCACACTGAGGTACAGTAAAGAATGGAATGTTGGGTTCCATTGTTTTCCATTACTAACCAAGTGTTTTTTATTGTTTCTATTACCAGAAACAAATAACTAAAATACATATGTGCTACTGTTTTTAAATAGCATTTTATTTTCTAATATTTTTCTAATTATTTTAAATATTTTAATAATTATTATTCTGATAATATTTCAATATCATTTTCTAATAATTCCTCAAAGGCTAGATTTGTCATCTTTATTCCAGCAAGGAACCTGGTTTGGCTGAGGAGATATTCATGTCAGAAAGAAGGAGATAAAACACTGCCCTCAGCCCACCTCAAGTTGTATTCTGGGCAAGAGTTACATCTGAATGTGTGGGATCATAGAACAAACCTTCTCCTCTTTGTACCCTTATTTTTGGGATAGAGAATCACACATGATTATTCTTATCAACTGATACATACTGAGGCCCTGCTATATGCAGGATTGTATAAAATGCACAAAGACACAGAAACCTGCCCTCTAAAATTTATGCAACTGTGTTCATTCCCTTGAAACTTTGTTTCTAAAATGGACATTTTGAAGTAAAGGTCCTTTTGATGTCAAGAGAATTGTAAAAAGGCTCAAGTAATGTACAGAATGATATTCATGTCAAATGCAAAGCAAAGACATTATTTTCTTTACTGGGACTTGTGTACATTTTTGGTTCTTTTTTTTTTTTTTATTGTCTTAGTATACAAAACTGGGAAGGGATGTTTAACTGAAATAGTTCTAATGTTCCCAAGTTTTCTTTATCCATGAGACTAGGAGCTTAGTGGCCCCTAAAATATTTATTAAAACTGCTGTCATGTTTGTCTAATAAAAGCTGGGTGGGTTTTTTATTTGATGCAATTTTTAGAGTATGGGAAAAGGGGAAAGAGGGAGAGATCTGATGGATGGTTATGCGAATTTAGGTATCAGGATTTTATTATACCTGAGAAAAAAAGCCACGTCCTTTCCTATGTTCGATTGCTATTATTGCTTTATAGCTCTTTACTCTGGTGAATTGGAAAAAAATATTGAGAAATAGGAAAGGCTTTTTAAGACCATGTCACATGCTGGGGTCAATTTGAAGATGAAAGTATCAGAAGTAATATTACATTTCTTACCGCGGCAGTCAGCCAAGTCATTGGAGTTGCTTTTAATTAAACCCTAAAAAGCTCTCACAGAGGTACACAGACCAAAGCCATATCTCTTTTGAATTGAATGGACTTTTTTGACCACAAAGCAGGCGTTCGCAAGTACACACTATGGAGAGGCAGAGTCATCCCCCTTATCCACCATGTTGCCCTGCCTCCCAGCACGGCAAGCACTTCCTTCACACTATGTAGTTTCCTTAAGTGTCTGAACACCTTATGCAGCACAGTGTGACGATGTGCTTTACCCTGGATGATGATAAAATTAGTCCACGCATCATCAGCTGCAATTGCCTGCATCTAACCAGAAGGTGATTGGCCCTCCACAGCGCTCCTCTCCTTCTGGGAGCTGATGGATTGTTTACCCCCGTGGAATGGTCTTGCTCTGTTGCTCCAAATGTGTGTAAGAGCCCCTATAGTTTGTGTTCCACCTCCCCTAGGAAGGAGCTAAAAAACCCTTTGCCAGATTTCTTTGCAGCAAAGGCCCAGGCGTGTGTCCCAGGTTCTGCCAATCCTTTACAATCCTGTAATTTCTTCACAATCTTTTGTAAAGAAAGCGGGAAAGCAGCACCAGCAAGGCCATGTCCTAGCAAAGGCAGTGGTGGAGGCGGCGGCGGTGAAATTCTGGCCTCCCATTGGTGGTAGAATTAGAGTTGGTGGCTATGATATCTTCTCTGGAACATCCCACACTGTAGTTTGGATGTTAACTTCCACCCAGTTGGGCTCTAAGCCTGTTCCTTTGATCTTCTCAGAGTTACTGGGAACTACTTAATAACGTTTAATAGAATCCTTTTCTGACTGAATGGTCTCATACTCTTTTGTTAACAAC